TGGAGATGCATGTAGTTAGCTTCAGATTTAGGTGATTCTAACACAAAGCCGCTACACCCCATCGTGCGGGTTTACCTAATTTCAAGGCCAAATCCCTTGATTTTTGAGGTGTAATAGGAAGATGGAAGATCATGGAGGGTTTTCCAAGTGATGATTTGATGTAATTCATCAGGAAAATGGTGGAAAGTCGTCGGAAGAGTAAGGAGCCAATCGGGTCGGGTCAAAAGGGCGTGGGTCAAGAATCCCCTGTTTCCCCTTTCTCTCATTTCCCCTCCTTATTCTCCCCCCCCCCCCGCCCCCCGCCCCCCGATTGACCATCTCCCTCCCTCCCTTCCCTCATTTCCTTCCTTTCTCTCCTTGCTTCCTTCATCTCCTCCGTTGATCTCACTTCCCTTCATTTGAAGACCAATCCTACAAAAAATGTTATCTCAACATATCAAATAAATAGATGGTTCATCATCAATATATTACTTTGTATCTATACCGTCGATTTGTTTTATACATTTGAATGATTTATGATTTCAGATGATTTTTGTACAGGTAATCTTCAAATGAAAATTAAGGAATTGAACAGTTTCAATTATTAAATTTGTACAGTTGAGATACGTTATCCGCAACAAGGAATAAACTCATCCTCCCAAAAAAGAATGCAAGTATTATCCGTTAAAATAATCCAACTTTTAGGCTAGTGCTAGTATCATGAAATATATAATTTGAAATTATAGGTACTCTATCATTCATTTTATTTTATGATTAATTGATAATTCAATTAGAAGGTTTCTTACTTAATTAGTCTTAATTTTTTTTCTGCCGAAAATTATTTGGTTTGGCAATATCCTCATCTTCCGGGGCCATTACATGATTTTAGTATAGCATTGCAAAGGTTTCCTAGACAACGAAAGTTAGCTAACAGCCTAACACCTTCATAATTTTAATTTTGGTATAAATCAATAATCTATGTTATTAGTTGTATATTTTAGCATGTCATTTTAAGGGAGCTGGCCAACAAAGGAAAGCTAAATTATAAAAGAAGAGCCCGCTTGTGTTATTCTGCATTTTAAATTAGTAATGTATTTAAGAAAACTGACTATTATCTCAACTTTTTCCATTTTAACTTATACGGCATATAACCTAACAATGGCTTATAAATATAAATAATCGAGGTTCAAAATGACGTGAATGCAAACAAATAAAATAATCCCACACTAACTGGTACTTCAAATTTGAGATATGAGTTGTTACCCAAAGATAATTTTATCAGTAATGACATTACACCTACAAATTATAATAGCACAAATTAAGGTTGTGACTTTAATGTTACATAATATTGAGTTGTACATATGCTTTAGTCATTAGATTTGATTTCCACGACTACTAGAATTTTCTTTTTTTAATTTCAATAATTTATTTTATGTACCATGCACATACTATTAAAAAAATTGCTAATTAAAATAGTATTTTAACAATAAAGAATAATTAAGAATGGGATAGCATATTGTTTTGCATTGACACCTTATCCATGATATTTTTTTTATGCTTTACCTTACTCATGATATCTTGTCAAGAGATTATACATATTCAAAAGTGATCCAATGCCGGGGTGTGTTTTTTTTTTTTTTTTTTTTTTTTGTTGAGATGACTTGATTTAAGGAATTTTAGGTATCAACTAGTCTCACCCTATATGAATATTTTTGATATCTTGTCAAGAGATTATACATATTCAAAAGTGATCCAATGCCGGGGTGTTTTTTTTTTTTTTTTTTTTTTTGTTGAGATGACTTGAGTTAAGGAATTTTAGGTATCAACTAGTCTCACCCTATATGAATATTTTGTACAGTATAGATGTTTAATCACAATTAGCGTGACTTCTACATATGGTCTAATATTCTAGTTGATACGGTGTTAGGTTTCCACCCATAAGTTCTAGGTTCAAAACTCCTCTTTCTCCTTAAAATGATTGTTTTGAACCTTCCCTCTCTCCTTAATAATAATACAATTAGTGTCACCCACTTTGCATCTCAATTCTTAATTTACATCCTCTTGTCCAGCTTTGAAAATTTTCATGTCTTTCTCTATGAAAAATAAATAAATATTTTTTTTAACAAACAATATTATCTATATTAAGGGGGTGAGGGAGTGGGCTAAACCTCACAATGAGCTTGCAATAATGTGGTTTAAATTTGTCTTTGACAAGAATCGAACATAAAACCTCTCACTTACAAATGAAGATGAATACCATTAGACTGTAGTACTAAGTGACATAAATAAATAAAATTAAAACTGAATAATTCCACGTTCTTGTGATGAATGCTCCAATCCTCCACGACAAACTAATCCCTGAAGTCATTATATGAAGGTGGATCTATAAGAATTATTGTGAGGATCAATAAGTTGTCAATTAGGTCGCTTGATTTTCTAGTATTATTTAAGTGAGTTGAAATTTGAGTGATCTTGCAATCTCAGTATGGCTAGAATAATAGTCTTAACTCTAATTGACCAATCATGTAATTCATATTTGCTAAGGCTTTATTATGGTCGGATATAAATATATAATTGTAATTATGAGTATTTCTCATTTGATAATAGACTTGATTGAGAAAGGGAAATTTTATTTGAACCCATGTAACCTCTTTCTACACCCAACTTACTCTCTAAACCCATATTACTTTTAATCAAACTATTAATATCACTTTAAACCCAAATTTACTATCTAAATTACCCTCATAAATCCACTTCAATATATAAATTTATCTTTACACATATTTAGAAAAATAAAAACCTGAAATCAATATTCTAGAACTCGTTCAAGGCGTGTCTCATACTTAATCCTTGCTTCATATTTGCCACTCTAATATATAAAGGCAAGAACCTAGTGGATACTGGAAATGGTGCAGTGCTCGTCACTCTAATATACAATTAAGTCGAATTTAAATAATTGTGTCATCTCGGTGCTAATGTTTGATCCTTGCTCCAGCATTTGTCAAGTTCAAGCTTAATTAATTAGATCTAGGTATAAATTATATTTAATGGTTAAGTTATATAAAATAGACAACGTATAGTTTAGAAATCATAAAAATAGTTTGTTGTGTGTCAATGTTTGTCACTTCTCGCATCTTACTTGCCCAGAAGATTAACTGCTTTCACAAAAACAAATAGAAGGGTTTGTATAATACTAATCTATATGTAGTTGTCAGCCAAAAGCCAAGAAAATTACATCTCTAGTGTAGGCTATAAATTAAACATTTATTGTTACAGACTTAAACTTAGACTTAGTTTCTGGGAAAGTGTAATAGAAAAGGTGTTAATTTTGTTTCTAAATCCAAAAAAAATTGAAAAAAAACATGAAAAAAAAAACCTTACATAAATCGATTCATACCTTAGTTGGAGGATTCAAAAGTTAAAAATCATCATCCATTGGTCAAGAAGAGCATATTTTTCTCTGTGAGAGCATTTTAAAGGTTTAGCTAGAATGAATGTATGATAAATATTGGGCTTGATGTGATGATAGGGTTTGATTATTGAGTGAGTTTATTAATAAATTTTAAATTTATTGTTAATTTAATCTCGTATTTGATGGTAATTATGCAAATGGGTAGAAAAGATAATTCACATTTAAAATTTAAGTTGGCTGTAGAAAAATATTATATGGGTTTAATAAAATTTCTCATTGAGAAATATCCTAACAACTATATAACAATTGTCCCATCTCTCACATATAATTTTGAGAGAATAAAAGACATTCTTATGCTTGTGCCGATTCCTCTCTTACAGTCCTAATATCCTGTTGTTTTTATGATTTCAAAATTTCTCTTACAAGATCTTATAACTGTGCCTAAAAAGTTGGCTACGTTGAGCACGCACTCAGCACAGTACGTAGCATGTGTCTGTGTTTTACCTAAAAAGAAGGCAATTGTCAAGAGATGCCTTTGTATTTGCAACTTGTCAAACCTAGAAGATTGCGCCTGTTCATTGTTGTTAGGTCGATCGATCGATTCAAGCCAAGTGCTGCTGCCACGGCACGAAATTTGTTAGCATTGAGCAGTAACAAATGGTACGTTGGGCAAAGCGTTTTGAACAACTTTTTTGCCACCTTTCGATACAAAACTTCAAAAGAAGGGATCAAATTTGAAGTGTTCACAAATTTTAAGGTTTACAAATCTTCCCACCATGATTTTTGTTTTGTTTAATATTTGGAAGCATTTGGTAAGGAAGCAACTACAGTAGGGGATGACTTTGATCATTTTTATCCTCAATTTATAGTTTGGTTTAATAAGTTTTCTAATTTAATTAGTCTTATTAAATTTTGGCAAGTATATATAGTTATGAAATTTATCAAAAATATAAGTTGTAATTTATTTCGGCCTTTCAAAAGAAAATACACAGCATATAAAATCTTTTTGGATATGTAGGCAAGTTGAGAGCTCTAAATCCATGAGCTTTGGAGAGATGATATCCCTCTTCCATGCTAAAAAACACAAGAAGCTATACAATCCAATCGGGACCTCAGCATAAGATAGTCGCTTACACGTGGGTAAGTAATTGTTAACCATTGATGCAATATGTGGACAATTGTTGTTTACAATTTTCATCCTACTACATAGGTTACAAAGATATGAAATTAATCGATTTGTATGTAAGTTGCTAGTGACATTATGCTTCTTGTGGTTGAAAAAAAAATCCTGAAAATTATACTGAAAAAATTCCGATCCTGAACCGAAAATCCTGAAAATTTCGGTACGTCATCCCAAATTGATCCCAAATTATTCCGTACAGAATTCGAGCTGACCTATTGGCCTCGGCTGTCTGTTGTTATAGGGTTTATGTGAAAAGGCACAATTCCTCAGACTCTCATTCGAAGCATCTTACTCCCACAGATAGCCACATTCTCTTTCGCTCAAAGCAACTGCTGCAAGCCTTGCTCTTTCTCGACCTCACCTCACACTGCTCTCTCATCCTATGCCAATCTATTTCGACCTCACCTTCGTTTGCGAGGTGATCTCATGGGTTCCCTTACCAACTCCTACAAGTCCCTCTGCTCCTTCATCGATAAAGCCGCTAAGAAGCGCGAGACCACGAAGACTGACTCCTCATTTGCCGCCAAAATTACCAAAAATTCCAGGACCAAGAAGATCGGCCGCATCGAGAACAGGCTTAAGGAATCCAGCGGCGATTTGTCGCTCTTCAAGTTCAAGTCCAGTGTCGTCATTGCCCTCGTCCTCTTCGTCATCTTAGGGCTACTTAGCTCGATGTTCGAGGGAAAGATAGTGGCAAAATTACCCTTCAAGCCCTTTGGGTTGGTGATGAAGATGACCCACAGAGGGCTGCAAGGGGAGGATGCGACATACTATTCAATGGTTGGTGAAATCCCAAGCTGTATTGGAATCCCTAAAAACCTTCGGGAATCCCAAAATTTTGGTTCGGTTTGGTTTTGATTTCGGAATCTCTTCTAGAAAGGACTTGGTACGGGATTTAGGTTACTCTTTTCGAATCGGGATCCCGATTCGAACTACCCTTAATGTTTTTTGTACTAGTGTAATTGGTTGTATTAATAAATCTCATTGTTTTAGTTACTAGTGACCACTGTTTGAAATATCCTGGATATGCCCGATGTGGAGCAAAAAATAATCAAAAAAATATGGAGGCGACACGTGTACTTTTGGGTGAAAATGACAAATTACCTTTAAGGCACACCGGGATTCCCACGTGCATGCAATGGACAACAACAACTCAATCAAGGAAGAGTCAAAGGTGATCAAAATGGTATATATTCAAAACCTTCTCATCACTCCTCATCAAATCCTCACTCAAAAGGTAACTCCCAATTTTCCTATTCAATTTGGGATTAATTGCCAAGTTAATTGCAAGATATTATTTCACTTAATATCTTGCAATTACACTCACAATTTGACCATATGTGGCATGCCCCTATTCTCCAAATAGGGTTGGTCACTCCCCTATAAATAGTCATGCTTTCCCACTAAAATGTTAGGCCATTCTCTCGCCAAACATTCCTAAACATTTTCTCTCCCAAATTTTAACTTTGGCATCAGAGATTCTTCGGGCAAAGCCCCCTTATTCATCGTTGGGGGGGGGGTGTGAGGTTTTTGGCCTTAATCTTAGGTGTTATTATTTTGTAGGTGCATTTTCATTAAGGGAGAAGATGGCGAAAATTTTCATCCACAAATTGGTGCTTTCATTAAGAGTTTGATTCACAAGCTCGAAGAAGACTCTTACATTCAAAGTTTCCCATTTCTCGTTCATTTGTAAATTTTTCATACTTTCTTATTCCTAGATATTTTTTTAATTCTTTGAATATAGGTAAGGGAAAAATACAATGATGGAAAATTTGGAAATCACGACAAACGAAACTTCCTACGTTCAAAGATCCGGATCAAAATATGGAGGATGAGACGTAGCAGTGGGGAGTGGGCCAGCTCCATGGTAGCGAGACCATAAGGCCACGACTTAAGAGGCGCAAGCCTTGGAGGTAGCCTAGCTTGTTGTCACTTTAGCAGCCCATGCCTAGACGTAGCAGTAGTGGCCTGGCACACCCAGGCCCACGCCACAAAGCAGCACTAAGCCCAGGCCTACACCATTTGCAACACTAAGCCCAGGCCTGCACCGTACAGCAGCCGACTCAAGCCACACTGAGGAGAGATGAGGCCTAGAGCACGCGTGCTTCCACGGCCCAGCCCACGTCAACGGTCCAGCCTGCTTCTACGACCAAACCCGTTTTCGTGGTCCAGCCCACTCATGTGGCCTACAAAGTAATCCCAATCGATCCAAGACCGGTTTAACCGTCCCGACTTTAGATTTCTGGACCAACAATTGAGCCGCGGGTATGTTTTTCCCCATTTCTTCGTATATTTGACATATCTTAACTCAAATCTCACGCTTGGAGTCCATTACACTTCCACTACTCAAGGAGATGTATATCATCCTAGCTCTTCCACCCCAATTAGCGAACAACATTTGTCTCGACAAGTCATAGAGTTGACAAACGCCTTCGTCCAACAGACTACATTGGTAAATCAGCTCTTGCAGCGTGCCCCAGATGATGTGTCCCAAAGTAGGACATGAGCAGACAATGAACCTCTTCAACAGCATCTCGGCAAGTAGCCACTTGACCAGTCATGAACCAAGCGTTTTGGTTTTCGATTGGGCTCCTAAAATAGCGTATACTATTGTCTTAGCGTGCAGATGAGCGTGTACTCTCGGTTAGGCTCACGAATGAGCATACATTCACGATTGGGGCCACATTCCGATAATCAACATGAGTAATCTTTTAGGCGAAATGTTCATTTGCGGCTAAGCTTGCAAGGAGCATCATCCACCTCACATTGGAGTAGGAAACACGACAAACAGAGAGAAGCAATCATTCAATCCAATTTAAGTCAACCAGCAACTTGTGAGTAATTCACTCGCCTACTGAGAACATACCATATGCACCGCAACCGCAACATAAACGAGTCGAGCATATGGAAGAGAAGCCTAAACCAACATGTAACTATCGGGGGTAGCCGGAAGCTCCACTGCCCAACTAAAGGAAAATTAAAGAAGAAGTTGAGATGCTCCTGAACGAATGATTGCGCGATTTTTAATGCATTGAAGCTAATGATGAGACATTCTGACGAGACATGACCAACATAAGCAGGTCACCTCTCATTGACAAGATCGAGCAGACGGGACTATCCCACATAGATTGTCGGATACAAAGATTAGTTCTATTCCCACAAACGCAGCAGATCGGCTTAATGGCGCGCCTAGGGAAGACGAGTGCCAGAATGACACACCAGCCCAACTACCAAGAACCAGGGGCATGTCTTATTCTCAACACTTCAGACGATTCAATGCTGAAGCAGCACATCTCCAATAGCCAAACATCATAGACTTAGTGGTCCAATTCCTCCTGCTGCGCACAACCTGGTCCAAGCTAGCCACATCTCTGCGCTCACAACCATGCCTACCTACTCAACAGCTCCCAGCAACCATTGATTTATCACTATGGCTATTAAATATGCCGATCTTGCTCTGTAGCTCGCGCTGACTAAGCCTATGGCACTCTAAACTTCAAAGCATCAAACGACATAGCAGAAGACAAGGCTTTATTAGCAACCCCTGCGAGCAAAAGACTTAGCGGTGAAAAAGCTTGCAATCCATTTAGATTCTCAGTTGTTCACCCACCAAAGCCTCAAAAAAGTACACGACGAAACATCTAACGATGGCGCAATACTTGAAGAAAGTTTGGAAGCAGTTCACCGCGCTTCCCACGTACACCTTTACATGGGTTCCACAAGTAGTACGAAGTTTCAAGCAGATCGCCGAACAAGACCTCACATGTTAAGGATTAATTCAGTGGTCTAGCAGTCCAATTTTCCTCAGTTGTGCTCACAACAATGACTTTTATGTTTTCTAGTACGAAAGGGTAAACTAATTGTTCTCTAGTGTGAGAAGGTAAACTAATTCCCCGACACCTATCTGGGTTTGCTATCCAGCTCGAGAGGATAAACTAATTGCTTTCCAGTGCGATAAGGTAAACTAATTCCCCGATACCCATCTGGGTCTGCTCTCTAGCGCGAAAGGATAAACTAATTGCTCTCCAGTGCGAGAGGGTAAACTAATTCTTCGATACCCATCCGGGTTTGGGTATGCTTTCTAGCGCAAGAGGATAAACTTATTGCTCTCCAGTGCAATAAGGTAAACTAATTCCTCGACACCCATTTGGGTTAGCTCTTCAATGCGAAAGGATAAACTAATTGCTCTCCAGTGCGAGAGGATAAACTAATTACTCTCCAGTGCGAGATAGTAAACTAATTCCCCGACACCCATATGAGTTTGCTCTCCAGCACGAGAGAATAAACTAATTGTTCTATAGTGTGAGAAGGTAAACTAACTTCCTGACACCCATCTGGGTCTGCTCTCCAATGCGAGAGGATAAACCAATTGTTCTCCAGTGTGAGAGGGTAAGCTAATTCCCCGACACCCATCTGGGTTTGCTATCTAATGCGAGAGGATAAACTAATTGCCCTCAAATGGGAGAAGGTAAACTAATTCCCCGACACCCATCAGGGTCAACTCTCCAATGCAAGAGGATAAACTAATTGCCCTCCAGTGCGAGAATGCCACATAGCTCAAAAAATCGAATACTTAAAAACTATCTAAGCAGTATGGTCAGAGGGCAACAACCACTTCACACTCAACAGTTCACTAATCCGACACTCCATTTATGGCAGCTGAGAAATCAAACTCAAGCAGTTTCCTCATTCTTGGCAAGCAGCCCAGATGTGGTAGCCCAAACCATGGCCCATGTCATGCCACTTCCTCGCCCCATGCCGAGCTAGCCTTTGGCTTCAGTCAAGCCAAGCAACATAAGCTGTGGCCCCTGCCACACCACCTCCACTACTAGAAAATTACCTATAACTGGAGGTCCAAAAACTGACAAGAAAACATAATTTCTGTCGGATATTTGGGCAAAAATAGACATAAACTCATGCAATGACGGATAATAGAAACGATATCATTGCTAGCATCACGAAAAGGCTTTTGATGTTAGTTAGTCCTCTTAATCCGCCACAAGGAAGGAAAGCAATATAAAATAAAAAAAGGATAGTAGCATTGGTTGACATCGAGTCTAATGTCGGATACAAGCGACATTAAGTACTAACAAACATTGTCGGATAGAGCTGTTTGGTGTCGGTCCTAACCAACACCACCTAAAAATTTAACTAATAAAATAACCAAAATAGCGTCGCCCATAAGCAACACCACTAACTATTAATAAAAAAATAAATAAAAAGCTTGTCTGGGTTTCTAATTGATAAATTATAGACTATGGGTAACCGAGACAAGCTTTTGGAATGTTGCTCCTTGAATCCCAGAGTCCCTGCATATAACAAAAGTTAAGCTCCCACAACACCATAAGAGCACATTTAACAAACCACATTGATAAGCAAGCACCCAAATCGACAAATCACAAGCACCATAAGCATGGAACCTACAACAAGCTTTTTTTTTAAATATTAAACTATTACCGTCGGCTATAACCGACAGCAATAAAATTCCCTCCCAAAATTTTAAATTCCTCCCCCCCCCATTTTGTCACAATTTAAAAATTCCCTCAAAACTTTAAATTTCCCTCCAAAATTATAAATATTATTTATTTGCATTTTCTCGTAACAATTCCGCCGTCCCAAATTTTGTCACGATTTAAAAATTCTCTCAAAATTTTAAATTTCCCCTCAAAATTATAAATATTATTTATTTGCATTTTCTCATAACAATTCAAGTGACAAAATGAATTATTAGTGTTGGCTACAACAGACATCGGGTTTTAAAATATTTTAAAATAATTATTCTTTTTTTAACCGACACTAACTTTATGTTAATTGAAAGCGAGACAGTTTTTTTTTATACGACACCACCATTTAAAAAG